AGCGCGCCCAAGAAATATGGCGCCAATGATAAAACGAAAGCCGGCACGCTCGTTTTCAAACTTTAGCCTCGAAAACGAGCTCCACGACTTTCTGTAAAATCTGAGAAACTTTCTTCAATTACCGGTGGAAAGTAGGTTCAATTACCCGACTGTGGAGGCAGAGAAACAATTATTGTACCTGGCCGCCCTTCGAGATCCTAACGATCCAGCTGAATCGAATAAGAACGAGGAATTGAAAAGGGAGGTGGAAAAAAAAAGAAGGAACACGTGCAGGAGAGATAGTACGTGGCGTAGTTGATGCCTTTTGTGATTGCAAAAACAAAGAGTGAACCGGATGAAAAGGATTTCTTATCCTATTTTCAGTTTAACGCCCAAAGTGTTCACGTTTCCTCGGAGAAGGTCCATCGGTGCGTATCGTGTAATTATTCGTATAGCAGCGAGATTGTTTGCAGGGTCCGGACGCAATTAGTCGGCTCGGTAACGCGACTTTAAAAAGTTGTCGGAGCAAGCTCGTCTCTACCTCTCGCTGCCTTTTGTTCCGTTCGCATAATCAAGGAAAATGCACATACCCCAGCCCCCTGCCAACCACATATATCCTTTACCTTGGCAAACTAGCCCAAACCAGCCATTATTCTTCTTTGCGCAATAACTTCGTAAAGCGAAGAAGGACGGAAAACCGACGCAATTAATGTTCCAAGACTAGAGCGACGTACGACCGCTATACCTTCGCCATAAGGGCCAAAGCTTCGTTTCAATATCGGCCACCTTCCTCTCCCTGAATCGCAGTCGCGAAATCCACCCAGACAATTTAATCAACCAGAAAATCTACCGTTCCGAAATAAGTTTTCTCCGCTTAGTTACAATCCGCTTTAGATTTCCAGATACGCTATCCGCGTAGTCTTCTCGTTGCGTTCGTCGGAAATAAAGATCCGGAGTTTATTGAACCCAGCTTTTCTCCACTTTGCGCATCTCCACGTCCATCCCCTTTGCTGCTTCCAAAAAGGCCGGCCAACTAAACTCCTTGCTTCACGAGCTTCTGTTTACGCCCTGATCATCCCCTAACAGTTTACCCGTTAACAGGGTATTTATGCATCACGTGTACTACGTTACACAGTGGTGCGCTGGGTACACAACATCGAAGATTACATATTGCGTCGTCGGTGCTCTCAAGAAAAGCCGCGTTATTGAAAAAGTTTCCTCTTCGTACAAGGGGAGGGTTTGCGAGACGCTGAATTGTGGTTAATTTTCGGAAGGCAGGAGATCAATATTTGCCGCGAAACAGAATTTCTCCGGTTGCGCTGTTGCGCGTTTCGTTGTAAACAATCGCGTTAAGAGACGGGATTTGGTGTAGCACGGCTCGCGGGCAATTTTCGCGATACAGTTTCGCCGATTGCGCCGCAATCACCACGGTAGAATGTTTGCGCTCGAGCGTTTGTACACGAATTATTATGCGGCTCGCTGTCCTTCCTGAAGCCCAGAATGTCGGAAGCGAGGAATTTCCCCGACGCACGTGTACCCGGGCACACAGAAAACCAGAGACGTAGAGGGAGATATATATACATACGTACCTGCATATATGTATACAGAGGGAGAGAGAGAGAGAGAGAGAGAGAGAGAGACGACGACGACGAAATTTTCAACCATCTCCATAAAAAGCGTCCACATTTTACTTGTCGTCGCGTAGTAATTTATTTAACAACGCTCTATTAACATATCGCATCAGCGCGCAATTCATAAGCGATTACCTGTTACAAATAATTCACGATTCGCCAGTTGTATTAGGGCGTGGTACGTTTTGTTAAAAACCAACAAGGCGTTCTTTCGAATTAGATGCACACGTATCGAGATTCAGATCAGATCATTCGGTGATAAAGGAACGCCAGACTGAGTATCGTTTAACGATATGAAACGTGTTTCATTTTCAATTTAACGCGATATCGGTGTATTTGCATTTTTCAATTTCGAATCGAATCAAATCCCGGAAATAGCTATCTCGAAAAATCGCTAGATACATATTTTTCCCGATACGTGAAACAATAGGTATCTAGCGATTACATTTGACGAGAAAGAAAAAAGAGAAAACTGTACTACACGTGTATGCGTACGCACGTGGACGTTTTCATTTCTTTTCTTTTTTTCCGTCACTGTCATTTACCACGCGAGCGCTCAAATCTCAAAAAAACGTACACCGATGAAATCAAATCTGTTCTAAAAGTGATCAAGCTCGATGTTCACAACTATTTCTACTCGAGGAATTGTAGCGAACAAGTTTGCGTGATTAGCTTCGTTTGCGTAAATCAGAGAACACGCGCGGGTATCAATTAACAACGATCGATGATGCACCAACAAATAACGGCCATAGGCATTAACGACGAATCGCAATAACCGCCATGGTGTTGCTACAGAGAGGAATGAACTGACGAATTGACGGAAAACAAGGGATGGTTTGTGGATTTTATATCGTTTACCTCCAAGGTATTTTATCGTTTCTCAGTGTGCTTTTAAATCCAATTTTTACGAGCATCATTTATATGTGATATTTTACAATTCCACATTTCTGCTAGAAAAATGGGAAGTTTTTCAAGAAATTCTGTACTCTCGGAGCGGAAGAAGCATTTCTTGGAAGATAAAGAACGAGAAGGGTGCGCAACAAGGTTTCCGCGATAAGACCGAGTGTCTATCGAATGAATCAGGCCAGAAGTAAAAGAGAAATAAATCCGGTATCGAAGGGTCACGTGGATATCGTGGCAAAAGGCCTCCAAGAAGATTTAATTTGCGGTTCACCACTCGGTGGCCAGGCTAACGGAAAATCTCGATTCACTATTTTTCACCTTCCTTTATCCTACTTTTTGTTTCAACAGTCCGCAATGTTCCATAGAAATTGGAGATTGCCAAATTGAATAATAGCCGTACCACCGAACCGCATAAGGCTGCGGGTAGCATTTCTCTCCGTATCTACCAAATATTTCATCGCTCTAGCGAAAAAATAACAACTCGATTACTTTTTATGTACGTTTTTATTATACGGTTCGCTATTCGGAAATACCACGCGCACACACCGAGGTAATTTCGAAAGCGGCGAATTTTTTACCTAAAGAAAATTGAAATCTCGCGAGTTAAAGGCTGAGCGAGTGGCTTACTTTTCTACCCTAGACGGTACACGGCACTACGCGACGCGTAGTAATTGCTTTCAATTATTTCGAGTACGCGTCAGGGATGAGAAAGCTCGTCATGTTCCACAAGTGTACACCTACTCTTGCTCGAAAATTTCCGAGCTAC